GCCTTGTTTGTTTTCATCAGGTTTTGATCTATGACTGTCTGTGTCTTAGGGTTTTTTGTTTGCTTGCTTCAGGAGAAATTCTTCTCTTCATGCTTTGAAAGAACTTCTTTTCTGTTATCTGGATGAGCAGATCCAGAGCAAAAACTAGATTATCAGCAGCAGTAGCTGTTCTGTTCTGTTTCTTTTGTACATGATGCCTGGTATGACTTTTGCTTATTGTTTGTACTAGGATTAGATTTCCAAATTTGTGTGGGACTCCTATTTGATTCAAATAACTTCTTGAAGCTCATTGTTTCTTCATAATGTTTTATAAACTTTTTCCCAGCAATAAGCATGTTTTTGGAGACTCAGAGATTTTCTTAGCATGTAAGATAGACCTCGGAGTTTTGCTTCCTTATTTTGGGCTTTAGGAACCTTCTTCATGTTACTGAAATCTCCCTTTTAATAGGGTATATTTAAAGTCCAGTAAGTTTAAGAAGGAGAAATGTGCAATGTGGGGCATGAACTCTTTGCATATATGAAAGGGCTCCTTATACGTCTTACTTTTACCTTACGAGTCCTGTATTTTACCATTTGCTCATTGATTGTTTCAGAAAATAGCTTATGACATCTGTCACACACATGACAAGGGTTTCCATGGTTTGTTTCCCCCAGCCTGCTTCCTCTGCCAAAAATTCTGTATGCGTCCTGGATCCACACATACCTTCCCATCACTCTTATTCTCCCTTCTCTTTCACTGTGGTGAATTGTCTTGAGGATTTGCCCATCATTCATACTGGGGACAAAACCAGCTGGTGCCAGCCATGAACACATTCCATCTCTTTGTTATAGCATTAAGGAATCTAGAAAATAACAAAGCTAAAGTTGCTGTATAGCTGTGTATCTTCTACCTGCTGTGTGTGCATAATTCCATGATGATTATGTGATTGGGTACTGTTTAATAAAATACTGTATAGTATCGTAAGACTGTTTTTGCATTATTTTAAAATAGTGTTATTTAGGTATTGAATGGTAGGCACCACACAAACAGGGGCTGAAAAGATTAACTGCAATTCTAAATGTCTGCAATGTAAATATAATACAGTTGAGAAAATATACCTAAATGGGAAGGGAAATTCTAGGAGTTGAGGGGGAACATTCATACTTCAGGCATCCAATTAGTGTACATAAATGAAGACTGATCTCCCTAGGCCATTTCCAGAGTTTATCCAGAGACCCCTTCAGAGGACAGTTTGCATTACTTTAGGAGTTCTTTTGTCAAAATTGCTCTCAACAGGAGCCTCTCTCAATTTACTGTGTAGGATCCGTTTTCTACATCCTACACTTGCCTACTTCAGATACTTAAAGTTAAGTGGTGTGTATATACCTTCTTATCACACATTTTGCTCATAGGGGCTGTAGGGGCATCTTAGAAAGCTGGATTTCAGAGAAGGCTTTGAAGAAGAGGAACAAAGTATGTTTTCAAATATTTAAGGGAGTTTCCCTGAAGTGTAAGGTGTAAGACAGGAAGAGGCATAAGAGGTTTGTTTGAAAATACGACGTGGGTGAGTGAGGAGCTGGAAGCTGGACTCCTGACACTGAATGACAGGTGGGAGACATGAAGGGAAGAGATACAAGAAGCATCTCCAAAATTATTTTTTTTCAATAAAGAGCGTGGGTTTTTGAAGGTGTTTTAGCAAACACAAAATAATAAATTGGACAGTATGAGCTAAAGGTCTTTTCAGCTTTATGTTTCATAAAAATTGGCCTAGCTTCAAATGTGAGCAAACCACAGCTGGCTTCCTGATGGTGATTAAGGAACGGTAGGTGCTGTGGCGATAAGTGAGGAAGAGCCTTGAAAGTGAAGACAAGTAACAGATATTAGAGGAGAAGTCAGGGAGAGCTGTAGAGACAGTGATGTGTTCTCCAAGTGACCGACTTGCAAGAGGGTCTTTGCAGCAGTTTTCTGAATGAACGTGAGTGAGGTTAAGCTGCGTTTCTTAAAAGCAGAGACAAAAATGTTGCTGAATCAAAATGCCATGATGATAATAACTGGATTGAACGCTTCAGCCAATTGGAAGAATTAAGAAAAATACCATCTCTGAAATGTTGCACTGAAAGCGTCTGCAAATTATCAGTATGAATCTTAGGATTTGGAGTAAATTTGGGTTCTAAGGTGATGCTGGAGTTACGCGTTTGAGTGGCAGGCAGGATGATGGTGTAGCTGTGCAGCTCTGCATGTGACACTAGCAATTAAGTCATTCATGTGAAAGCTTTTAAAGATCTGTCCTCAAATATAATCGTATTGTTTATTATTTAGAGTTTTTCACACCTACGATTGCTTCCCATGTAACACTGTTTAGAGTATTTCCCCATCTGCCACCAAGGAATGGACGTTAATTGTTCAGTTTGATTTGCAGTGTTGCAGGGGGGTGGCTAGCATGAGAAGGCATGTTTTGCATTTGTTGGGAAGGCACTGATCTTTTTATTTGGTTTATAGTAATAATGAGCACCAGGTACAGTAATTTCTTTAAATTAAGTCTTCTAATAACTATACTCCATAGTGCTTCAGTAATACAATCTATTCAGTTCCTTACTCTGGTCCTGCCTGATGATGTAAGAACTCTTTCCAGCAGGAGGAAGCTTTCAGTTTGCTTGAGGCTTTTATAGTCAGGTCCCATACCAGCCACAGTCATTCTTTCCTTCCCACTTCAGCACGTCCCAGAACTCACAGGTTGGGAAGGGGGACCGGAGAAAAGGCAGAGGAAATAACATCTGCTCTTGGGTTATTTTCCACTGGCGGACAGTCATACAGGCATGGTAGCAAACAGGTGTGAATTAGAATTGTTTCTAGGCTTTTCTCACTTAAATCAGAGGTGAGGTAACTTTAGTACCAGGGAGGCGTAATCCAAAGGAAAAAAACAACCAAACAAGCAATCAGCTTTTCTTTTTTGTTATTTTTATAATAGATACACTTCTGCCAGGTGTGGAAATATAAACTGTTAAGGCATTTTTGCAAGAGGAAGAAGAAAGATTGTCTCTAGTAGTTAGGTGTCTCTAGTAGTTGTCGAGATTAGAATTGTCCAGTAGATGTCCAGATTAAAATATTAAAAGTCTATAGTATGCTTGGGGAAGAGAAATTTAAAAATTGATGTGATGGGCAGGTAAGACAGTAAATGCCCTTTTGCTTGCTAAAAATTTGTGAATTTGTGAGCAAGCGCCCTTCATGGCATGCCAGAGAGGTGCGGGTGAAAAGTGCAGTGTGTCTGCAGGATCCTGGTGGCTGGATGCTCACAGGCAGTGGGGACAGATGAGGCAGAGGGTTAGGCATCCCTCTGGTCCCCCCTGGGACCTCCCTCTGCACCCAGCGAGGCAGAGCCCTGCTGGGGTGTGCTTGCTGCCCCCACCCCAAGGCGCTTATTGAGCCACAGCCAGGCTGTAGTCTGTAACTTCTTGAGATAGAATACAGGGTTGTATTTTGATTATTGTAAGTGTCGTGTTACAGATTCTTGATCATGTACCAGTTTCTGACATGCATGTGGTATGCGAGTGGGAATTCAACATTAAAATGGAAATAAAGGTTTTTATATTTATCCTGAGCTAACACCAACAATGTCGACTAAATCATTACCTTCTCCCACAAATTTTGGAAATCACATCTCTCTTGCTTATTTATGAGTTTCCTCATATATAAGTAGTCTAAGTAAAGTCGGTGTCACATCTCACTCGGCAAACGTCTGTGGGCATAGTGAATAGAACACATATACAGTATTGTTTTTCCACTTAGAAATAATAGCAATTTGAGTCATTACCTCTCCATCAGTGCTATAGAGAAATTAGCATCTCTTTCAGTGAATTTCAGATGTTCGTGTCCTCACTTATCTTGGAATTATTTTAAAACTTATTCATTTATTTCATATAAAGGATCTTGCTGCGTCTTAAGCCATCAAGTAGGAGAAGTAAAAGTAATCAGAGATAGTTGATTCTCCTGAACTTTTATTATTTTTGGCAGAAAGTGGGTTTATATTGATTTGTCTGGTTACATGCTGATCTCTGAAGGTATAACTCTACTATAATAAAGGGAAGAACAGTATTGTACTCCTGGACAACCTGCCTTTGGTCTGGCTGTCTCAAAGGGATGGTACCGACGATCGTGCAAGGTGCAGCAGAAGGCGTGGACCCCTTCCTGGGTTGGCTGAGAAGTGCTGCTGCTGAAGTTCGGGTGACAGGATACTTCTCAGTGTAGCCCGTGGCTCTGTGTGCTTGTTCCACCGTAAACCTGATATCCCTGTAGCGCCTTCACTGCGGCTGTCACACATTCCTATTGTATTAAAGCCTGTGTTTCAGTAGGCAAGCCTCCTCACACAGTAGAATTTTTTTTGAGACAGTACGTTTTCTCATTGGCAATTGTATATGATAGTAGGTGTGTGCTACCATTAGCTTTTATTAGTATGTAAAAGGGAGAAACATCAGCCTAAAAAGTGACTTCATCTAACACACTGCCATGCTAGAACTTTGCACAGCCTTCAGATAGGTATAACAGTGAACGTTTTTATAGAAATAATACTACTTTCTGTCAGTTTTACAGTGTTTTAAAATATGGTTAGAAAATCTCATTTTAGTTTTTGCCACCATGTTACTAAGAGGCTAAAAATCTACATGTCTAGAAATGAAGAGCTGATGAAAATAAAAAATATCACCTATATTGATTTTAGACCACTCTCTTATTTAGAATAATAAAAAAAATTATATATAAATATGAAAAAGCAGCAGCACACAGGAGGTGAGCAAATGCACTGCAGGTAGTTGTGTTTGCCTGAAGGGGAATATGCTGTGATCAATTAGTGCTGTATAAACCTCTTGATGTAAGAAATCACTGTAGCCTTTCCAGTTGCTGCAGCTTTTTGTGGTAGAAATGTACATCCTGTAATGGTGTAGACAGACTATTTTTCTGGGACTAGTCTCTGTGGAGTTGTGCACTATGGTACCTGATTTCATCCTTTTTCTGTTTACACATTTAGGCCCTAATCCTGCCACTGGATTTGTTCCAATGGACCTCGGTAGCCATGGGGCCTGGCTGAGTCAGTGGGACCCTGGATGACTGCAAGTTTCTACTCTGAAGATGTGACTGTAGGCCTGAACCTAAATTTCTGTCTTATTCCCCTGTCTATTTGCTTCTAATTGATGAAAATTATCCTACAAAACGGTATTGTCGTCGAGTCTCATGCACGTGTACTTTAGTAGCATTCAGACACCGTGTGCTTGGGGTGTTGTCAGACATCGTTAAAATATTTCTGCTGTCATGTGCCAAAAACTCAGGATTGCCATGATTATTGTGTTATATTTTTACATTCAGTGGCTTCCTACCTAAAACAGAGGAGATTGTCACCTGTGTTTTCTATCGTTGTGGTATGTCTCTTAACTCAGATTTTAAAGTCAGAGTAACTGTTGGGACTTATTTTTAAAGGTGTTGGTAGATTTGTTTTTTATTTGTTGGACACAAAGTACATCTATTTTATTTTATTTTATTTTTCAATGTGCTATTTTCTTAGTAGCCTACTATTACTGAAAGCATTCAACATAATGACACACTGTGATGCAGACCAATAAAATAAATAGGAAAAAGCATTAACTTTTACTAGCTCTCCTGTTGCTTTTCTATTTCTGTGGCTGTGGTTACATGACATACTATACAGCTGAGAGTGAGGATATTTTTATTTTGCGAACCAGAGAATATCTTTTGTTTACACTGAGTGCTGTTCCCTGTCCTGTTCCATATGACAATGTTGCAGTTTCACTGAGTACTGAAGTTAAATAGCCCTGATAGAAGCTGTAAAGGACTTTGCGAAATCACATTAAAATAGAATTTGAGGGGGAAAATGGATAGGCTCTGTCTCTATGCAAGTTGGTATTTATACATATCTATATATCTATACTGTACAGACATTTTAAAGCAAGTATGTAGCAATACAGGATAATTAACAGATGAAAAGATCCAAAACTTTCACTGTATATAGAGAATCAGAAATACCTTTTTTTTCTTTTTTAGGCTTATTACAATGATATCTAAAAGCTTCACAGTGTTTGTTGAATTTAGGCGTATTCCCAGCACAACAGAAAAGCACTGCTGTTCTGTTTGACTGAGGAGAAAACCAAGCCACTTGTTCAGTCAGTAGTAAAGTCAGTGTTATTAATTGCCTTCTAACCTTGTGCCTCCGGCTCCATTTCTCCCTCAGAAGCCAAAGCTTCCATTATAATCAGCTGCTTTGCATTTCTACGTAAAAGGCCCAAGGTGTTTTGGTTTGGACTCCCAGAAAGTGAGGAAGACAAGGTTGGTGGCCCTCTGCCAAGGTGCTTGGTCTGACTTGCTCCTCATTCACAGAAGCCGATGGCGAAGGCAGAGGCAGAACTGAGTGTTCCTGTGTGGCGTTCAACTGCCGTAACCACAGGCCCATTGCTCTCTTCCTGTAGTTGTCTGTCTTGTTCTCTGCACAACTTCTAGAGCAAACACATATACCAACCTATAAATAATCTAATTCGATACACAACCCTGATTCATTTCCTGAGCAGCGTGTGTCCTGCGCACACAGCCGCCGTCCCGTGGAAAAGTTCAGCCGAGTGGATGAGGCCAACTATTAAGCTTATTAAGTATTTAAACTTTGCAATTAAATAGCATCCTTATAGCGTAGCTTATTATAGCTATAGCTTGAAGTATTTTTAACAAGGAACGAGAAGAAATGAAGGCTTTTGTATCTGGTTGTGACCGTGCCTGTTCAGCTCAGTGAAATGCAGAACATCAGCCGGTAGGAGGAGGCTGGCCACCTCCAGGGAGGACGGGAAGGAAGACAGCTGGGTAGTAAATGCTGTGGCTATACCCGGTGTGCCTGGAGTCTCAGGGACTATTTGGGGAGAGTTTACGCTAGCTTTTGTTTTCTCTTCAGCATTACCAGCCCAAGAAATGAGCTTTTCCAGAGTTTTGTAGTGCAGTAGATGCTGGGGGCGTGCGGTGTCTTGTCATAGTCTGGTAATAGTGTAAATGAAGGAACAGAAATCATATATGTTTTTTTCTCCTATGTTTTCTGTCGGAAAATAAGGAGACGCTCCTTAAGGCCTCCCAGTTTTCGCCCAGATGAATTTCAGGGGTGATCAGTATGATCCTTGATCTCAAAAATAGGTAGCAAAAACTCTTCTAATAGAAAGCACTGCTCTCAGCTTGCCCCTTTAATCTTCTTCCCAGTCAAACTGTAGTGGCCTGTTGTGCCTGTAACCTACCAAGGATGGTGTGTAGACTGCAGTGCCAGAGCAGTGGCGTTGGGAATCACAAGCTTATCTCTTTATCTTTTGTGTTAGTCTTGATTACGATGATAAGGGGGTGTTTTTTCTTGCCAGACCATGGGTTGGTTTCAGTTTTTGTTAATATTCTACCTTATCCGTGGATGATGCTTGAGTTTTGGTGACCGGGCTAGTGATTTGCTGTGAGAAAAACAAAGCGACCTCATGCTTTGCTTTTGTGTATTTTTCTCTTGGTTATGCAGTCTTTTCCCACCAGTAATGCAGCAAATTCAGATGTCCTGTGAACAGGGCCAGAGATGATACTGAGATATATCAGTAGTTAGGAAAGTTTTGGTTAAGCCATTCACTAAAATTCATAATAATCAAAACGCTTGCAAAAGTACATCAGTTACATCGGTTCCACTGGCATTTGGTTGTAAAGAAAAAATGAAAACCCTGCTTTTAACACTTTTTTTTTTTTTTTTTTTTACAAAGGATCAAAGTTTCACAGCTGTAAAGAAACTGTGGGAACAGGAAAAGTCAGTCTTGATAGGGCAGAATCACCTTAAGCCAGTATTTCAACTTAACACTTTGTATGATGAAGCTATGGCCTGAAACTGCTACCTGTCATATCAGATAATATTATCATTGATTTATTATGTTACTTCATCTTATGCGCAGTTTGTAACCTTTTGGCAGGGATTGTTTTTCTTTCCTGGTTTTGGTGAGTTTGGGGGGTGGTGTTTTTTGGTTTGGGGTTGAGGCTTTTTTGGGTTTTGTTTTGTTTTGTTTTTTTACCAGCACCTAGAATGAGGGAGCCCTGATCCATGACTTGGGTTCCAAGTACTAGGATAATACAAGTAGTAATCATGCCTGCTGCTAAAATTTTTCTTCCTTATTTACATTTGCATTTGTTTGCCTTCAGCTTCCAGTCATTGATTCTTGTTATGCTTTTCTGTGATGGATTAAAGAGCTCTCTAGTACTCACTATTTTCTCCCCAGGAAGGTGCTTTTACCCTGTAATCAAGTTACTTCTCAATTTTTTATTTTTTTTTTTAAGCTAAACAGATTGAGCTTTTTATGGTCCTCATGATTTTTTTCACATTCTGGGATGATTTTTGTGGATCTTTTCTATCCCTTCTCTAATTTTCTATTAAAAAAGAGATGTAAAACTGTATTTTGCTAGTCATACACACAAGTAAAATTACTTCACTAATTACTCTTGTGTTAGTATGGTCACAAATGGATGTTTTTGCAAGGTTAGATAAAATAAATAACTATTTCATGCGATTTCAACACATCTGAGTATGTAATTATTAGAGGATAGAAAAGGATGGATCATTTTAAAAACACTTAAATGCTTCACAAATTTCAAAAGAGCTATCAAATCAGCAAGAGTGGGTGTGCAGGAGGGGTTGCAGAAGTATTTCTGTTTGTGTTGAGGTTTTTAACAAGATAGAAGTGATATAAAAATCATAATATTAATTGTAAAGCAACAATGATATATCGAAACGTTAAGTGCTACGGATAACACGGTAATGCGTACTTGCCAAAATTTTGTAGGATTGGATGCAAAACCTTTGTTAGTAATAGACTGTAGGGGCCACTGGAAATAGAGATTGTGAATGGATGTGAGTATATGGATCCCTGACATCTGTCTAATCTCATAAGCAGCCACTTGCTTACCTAGAACAGATCTGTGATCTGTTATGCTCTAATAGAAGAAATAACATAGTAATCAAGAATTTCTTTTGCTATAAAAGCTGTCACCATGAAGTCATATATGAATTCAAACAATCAAAATCCACAGCTTCAAAAGAGGCTCTTGAAAGTTTTACTGCTTCAGTATTTCTTACCAAAGGAGTTGGCTATTCATTTTGATTTTTATCCATACTTTAGGACAAGGTTAAGTTAAATTTGCCCTGAGGAGACTAATCAGAAGCCTGCCTGGTTAAAGCATCTCGGCCTACTCAAATTACTTTTATGCATATCAGCATTTGAATTGAATCCGCACTCCCAGATCCACACTTAGACCCTCATGGAAACCATCGGATTTTCATTAAATTGAACTACAGACTGTTTAAACTCTCTGTGCTGCAGATCAGTTTAATGCAAGTTTGTCAAACATTGTGTCTTACAAAAATCTGAGGTTACCACGTTGACTTTGTCTGAACTGTCTTGCTTTTTGGCTTTGAAAGGAGTACGCCTTTCCTTTGTGGCAACATTGCCTCAGTGAAAATTGGGGCGTATTCAATAAGGGACTTAATCTGTTTCAGCAAACTTAAAGCTCATGGAAACATGGTAAATGAGGAAAAAAGGAGAATTAAAATAATGTAAAAAGACTTAAAATTCTCTAAAACTCCTGAAAAAGGAGTAAAGGTGAATAAGGACAGAATAGAAAGCCAAATGACCTGTAGTTAAGAAGGTGCAAATTTACTTTATACTACAGGTGTGTGTTAATGAAAAACTTAATACTAGGATTTTAGTAGCACAGGGTGACTTGGGGTAGAAGTTGTTCCCCTGCCATGATGAACCCACAGAGCCCTTTTCAAAACAATTATCTGTTGTTGGAAAGAGATGAGAGAAGTGGGAATTCCCTTGAATGCCTTTTGGTATCACAGCTTAGTCGATGTAAAGTATGTCATTTCTTACATCCTGGGTTGCTTCACTTTCTTCTCCTGAATCTCCCAAGTCCTGGAATAGAACCCTTAAATAAAGGGAGATGACAGATGGTAGAAGAAACAGGATGATTATGATGGAAGCTGGAGAGAGTCTCCTTAAGAATACTAGCATGACTTCATTTCTCTGAATGGCCATTTAAGAGGTGATCCTCCTTCCTGAACCAGAAATGAACTGGGATGGCTGCATATAATGGTAGGTGTTCAACCAATGCAGCAGCCACCAGAGTATATTAAATACTGGATAACCATTCTGGGGGTGGGAGGAGGGCGGTGGTTGCTAGAAAATTACTTTCCCACTAAATAATGTTGCTGATGAGTATTTGGTGAGCAGGTGCAGCTGCCACAGTCATTTTCCAGCTTATCTTTGCACAAGAGTATGGGGAAAAGACGAGGAGAGAAAAGGGACAGAAAGGAGAGAGGATAATATTTTGTTGAGGCTTCTTCTGCTCTTCCAGGGTGTGAGTGTATGTTCTTTGCCCTCCTTAAGTGGTTCGCTCTGATAACTTGTAGTAGTTGTAATCTTCCTTGAGCATCATATCTCATTGGGAAGTTAGCATTTTAATGAAGTTGCGGAATATATGGATGATTCCCCAAATGACTGAGATACACTCCATTGTCTACCACTGCATTGTCAGGGATGAGAGGGACACTGCGCAGTGACAACCATATACACTTGGCTGTGTGC